GGTGAAGAGGATCATGTTGACAAAATGTTTACCAACAAAGAAATCTCTGCTAATGAGAATCGAAATAACGTTAAAAATCATAAAAATGTTGAAATGGAAGAAGGAAAAGGTGATTCTAAAAAAGGTAAGGTGAATAAATAAATATTAAAAAAATGATTAATTTAAATTTTTCTTACAATTAATTTAATAATATTTAGTTGGAAATGACAAAAGATTACTTCTTTTAAGGCATAGTTTACAAAAATTAGTACTTCTTGGAGAAATAAATGTATGAAAAGTGTTCATTACTCTCATATTCATTTATTTTATTTATTTATATTGCCTGATAATCAAATGAAATGCTTAACTTGTTAATTATATCAATGTTGAACTAAAGAATGCTAATATGAAAATAGTCGACGATACATTTAAAGAAATTGAAAATGCATACATAACAATCGAAATGTTAAAGGTATATATATAATATACAATTTTATCATCAAATTAATTCATAGTTCTTTGTTATATTTGCTAACAAATTTTAATAACATATATATCAATAACAATAGAAATGTAAATTGGGAATTATTATGAGAAAAATTTCCAAAAAAACAATTAATAATGACATATTTAACATAGTTGAAAGAAGTAAAGCCCTCATGGAAAGATGGAAGGCTATGTTAGAAGCGAAATTATTAGAAGAAGATAAATTTTCTTCTGAAGCTTCGTCGTATTCATCTTAATCTTAATTTTTTAATCCAATTGCTTTAAATTGCTAACGATTTCTTTTATTTTAATTCTAATACTTTAAAAGATTATCTTTCTCCTGAATAAGTTGATTTTTATATTTTCCTTGCTAAATTCCCAGCTTTGATTTTATTGCAATAAGATGATAAAATAAATTTATTTGCACATGTGTAAACATAATTAAAATTAATAATAAAATTTAAATTTAATTAATTGTATTTAACTTTAACAATGTGCGTTAATCACATGTATTATTATTTACCAAGTTTAAAAGATCGTATTTCGAGATACGTGTGTTATTCATATAAATGGTTTTTAAAAAGAATGCAATACACAATACTGATTTAAACTACAAGACACTTCTAGAATGGATTAAGAAGTCCTTCAAGAAGTTCTTTTGAAATAATAATCAATTACAAACAATAGTTGGGGTCAATCACGTAATTTTCAAAATATTGGACAAGTCTATTGATGAGTTTATTAGAATGACACAACTTGAAGCGAAAGAATGTTATCAGTATTTGGAATGGATGAACTTGAAAATTTTAAAGGAGTTAACAGATCTGAACGATTTGAAGTTGACAATATGCATATTGTTACTTGGTATAAATACTTGGTCGCCTAAAGACACTTGGGATAACAAAGAAAACTGTTGTATTTCTACAATTGATGTCGTTAATTTTCCAGAATTATTTTTAAGAGAGGTATATCTATATATATAAAATAAATACATTCAGACATTAATTATTAATATTTTATTCATTAAAATTAAACATTTACTGACTTTTTTTCTTCATAATAAAATTTTAGCAGATTAAGCGTATTTCCAGACCCAATAAGCAAGTATCTAATAATAACAATAACATTTGGTTTTTAATTAATTGGTTTAAAATTCAATTGATGGATTAATTTCGAGTAAAATAATCATCACCTGTCATTTAAAGGGCACATAGAACATACAATTCCATTAACATTAGTTTGATTTATTTTCTTTAATTCATACTTTATACCATTTGATTCCTAATAAATAATAAATAATAAATTAAATAAAAGAATAATTAAATAAAAGAACAATAAATTATTAATTAAATAATAAATTATACTTCTTTATTATTTAACAATATTTTTCTAATTTGAAATAAAATAAGTCTTCCGGTGTCTTGATTTTTATTATAATTTGATTGGTTATCATCATCATCATCATCATGTATTCCTGTTCCAACACAAATCCATCGAAATTCTTGTCTACCAGTCGTAGATTGCCAACCTAAATTATAAT